CCTGGCCCCCAGCCCGGCTCCTCCCGGGGCAGCCCCTCCCATCTGTCCGGCTTTTGTGCTTCCCCGAGGCCGCCGGGCAAGGGTGGCACAAGGAGGCCCGGGCACCGCTCATGCATTCAAACCCACACGAGCAACGGACGCGGGTAAGTCACCAGGATGCTTCCTTCAGGAGGCACCTCCCGGCTCAGACACCTTGTTTCACACGGAACTGGTGACACGGACGCTCACCTCCAGGATGGAGTTCTTGTGAGGCTCGTTCACCTTCCCGGCCAGGCAGCAGTGGGAGACGGCGTTGTGGATGATGGGCTTGTTGGACTTGCTGCTGGGCTCCTTGAAGAGCTTGGGACCTAGGAGAACGGCCGAGACGGCGCGTGAGCGTCCTGGGCGCGGAGCAGCGCGAGGCCCGTTAGATGCTCGTGATATTTTGGAAGTGGTTGGTTTGAAAGAATTCCGAGTTAAAACTTTTAAATAAACGAAGGAAAAGACCACTGTTGATCATTTATCCCCTTCCTCACGTCAGCTTCTTTGATGTAAGAACGAGACAAAGCCAGGAATTAACTTTAAAATCTAAGGTTCCAAAGGCTCAGGACACGCCTGGGCCCGGGCTGTGCACGCTGACAGGCCTGTCACCGCCCCCCAGGCCGCTGGAGTGACAGGCAGCGCAGTTCTCAGATGGGGACGCGCCCGCCACCCCGAGCGGGTGTGCCATGACCTAAGGGGCGGGCGAGGCGTCACCTGTGTACTCGGCCACGGAGGCGAGGGAGGACGCGGCGGACGCCGTCTCCCAGTCCCGGTCGGTGCTCCTGCTGGGGTTGCGGCTCAGTATGGGCAAGGCTTCCAGGGACTCAACCCTGAGGAAAGGGACAGGGGACAAGGGATGGTCACGTGCGTCCTCTCCCACCCTGACCGTCGGCAGTGGGAGGGGACACCATGACCGACTGAGTGGTCTGTTCCCCACAATCATGAACCTGGTGAAGACGCAGAAACCAGCCCCTCCAACACTCGTGACAGAGCGGACAGGCTGCAGGGAGCCACCTCCACAGAGGCAGTCCCCCCTGCAGCCCGGGTGGAGGCAGCCTCGGCCTGCAGCAGGGGAGGCTGGGCCCTCAGCCACCACACAAAGGCCAAGACCCTGGAAGGAGGGCAGGCACGGGCCTGCACCGACACAGCAGTGTCTCCGTGCTGAGCAGAGGGAGCCGGCGGCTGGAGCTGGGATCCAGCTCAGGTAACCCATTCCCGGAACGAACACCCAACCAGAACCCAGTCTGAGAGGAATCCGCCACAAAGCTCAGGCAACAAGAGGCCACAGGACACGGCAGAGGGGGACAGGCCTGGCCAGAGGGCGCAGGGAAGGACGGGTGGGGGGACCTGCGACCAGCAG